AGCAACCATATATAGCGCTCTTTGCTGGACTCTGAGAAATTCTTCACCATCCTCTCCTGTACCATAGCAGAACTTGGACATCCACCACTGATACCACTATTCTTGAGCATTATCTGGATATTGTACCTCTGTATCACTACTGAAACAAGCACATTGTAACAACTTAAAGTCTTCTATCACATGTTATTGCCCTTCTTCTAATAGACTATAAAGCTGCTTCTATGGCCTTAAAACAGACTGGTTTACAACTAGTGTATGGATGTCTATGATAGATATTATTACATAAGAAGTATACAAGATGTGTGACTGATAGAACACCAATTGCTCAAATTGAGGCCTGAGTATACTGAAGTCAACATGTAAAGTCCAAGTTGTGGCCCAAGTACCCCAAGTACCCCAAGTATATAGACTTGGGTCAAGTCCGTGTACTTGGGACCAAGTACATGGACTTGGGGCCAAGTACACGGACTTGAGGCCAAGTACACGGACTTGAGTCCAAGTACATGAACTTGGGCCCAAGTATGGGTCCAAGTCTGTGACGTTTTCCTGATGCAACGAGCTAACCATCATGTTATCCATCGGACAAACCGCCCTATATACGCTCCTAGGCGTTGTGGGGCTAGTGTTATGGAGGCTCCGCGCTTTCTTCATCCGGCCCTTCACTAGCGAAATCAGAAACCTCCCTGGTCCTCCTTCACCGAGTTTGATATGGGGAAACATGAAGGAGATCATGGACGAAGACAACTCGGTTCCTCAGGAACGATGGGCAGACCAGTATGGCCACACCATCATGTACAGGGGCTTCCTTGGCGTACGTACGATGTGGCCGATCATGCAGCTATTTGCACTCGCTACTAATACCAAACCTTGTCACAGATGGACCGTCTTTGGACTATGGACACGCGAGCACTGAATCACATCATGACGCATTCGTTTGTATATCAGAAGCCCTCCCAAGCTCGCCGGAACCTTGCTAGAATTCTTGGAAAGGGTCAGTACACGTTCGTCGGAATGGCTTCGATTTGAACTAAATCGTTCGTGATCCAGGCGTCTTGTTCACCGAAGGTGAGCTTGGTAGACAGCTCTCTCTCTGGCAGTCGATAGACTCACACCGCGATGTCAATCATCAGGCGACCAGCATAGACAACAGGTCTATTCCTTTCTAAAACAATCACCCTCAACGTATAGCTGACGGTGCTCTGTTGCTGTGCAGAGGCGCGTCATGGTACATAATTACCATTTCTCACGCTGTCATGTACGTGTCTCCGTCCTAACCCCTACCTTCAGAACCCCGCCTTCGGTCCAGCGCAGATTCGTGCACTCACCGAAATCTTTGTCGAGAAATCCATTGAGGTCAGTACACGGCCTCACATATAGAGGCGCTGCTGAATCCTTGACAAACAGCTCCGTGATGTCTGGAACGACGAGGTATCTGAGAGCCAGGACGTAGCTCGGATTAACGTCATCAAGGAGATCAGCAAGATGACTTTGGACGTGATTGGTCTTGCCGGTATGATCCCCGCTGAGTCGTCTAGCAATGCCTGACATGGACGCGTACTTTGCTAGGTTTCAATTACCGCTTTGATGCTCTGAAGGCTGAAGTCCCGGAGAACGCGCTCGTAACTGCATTCAATCAGTTATTTGACCCACAGCCCCGTATCACTTTCATGATGATCCTGCGAAACTTCTTCCCGATCTTCAGCATCATCGTATGTTGCATCATCGACGACCTCTGACTCTACAGGAAGGGTGACTGATCACAGGGACTGCTTCGTAACAGCCTGACAAGCAGACAAAGCGTTTCGATCATGCTCAGGACGTCATGCGCCGCATCGGCATGGAACTTATCGCGGAGAAGAAGGGTGAGATCTTGCACAAGGCAGCAGAAGGCAAGGAGAAGCCTCATGGTCGCGACTTGCTTACTCTACTCCTCAAGGCGAATATGGCGACCGATCTCCCCGAGAACCAGCGGCTCTCTGACGAAGATGTGCTCGCCCGTACGTAGCGTCCTCATCTCGCCAGGCGCTCGTATTGACATCACGTCCGATTGCGCTTTTCAGAGGTGCCTACGTGCGTGATTGTAGGCTCTACCGCCTTCTGCTGCGTTCTGATGTCTCGTCTCTCGTTGCTCTCATAGCTTCCTCGTGGCCGGCCATGAGACCACGTCGACGGCGACGACGTGGTGTCTCTACGCTCTGACGCAAGCCCCAGAAGTCCAGAGGAAACTTCGCGAGGAGCTCTACACGCTCGATACGGACACCCCGACGATGGATCAGCTCAATAACCTTCCATACCTTGACAACGTCGTCCGCGAGACACTGCGCTTACACGCACCCGTGCCGGCGACGACACGTGAGGCGACCATTGACGATGTCATACCCGTCGGAGAACCCTTCGTCGACCGGTATGGACAAATACAGGACACTGGCAGCATCAAGTCAGTTGACCTCACTTAGGATGCAAAGCACCCGGCCACTTAGCAGCTGCTGACGGATGCGTTCTCTTCCATCCAGGATATCGAAGGGCACCCCGATCTTTATTCCCATTCTGGCGATCAATCGCTCCAAGAAGCTCTGGGGCGAGGATGCATTCGAGTTCAAGCCCGAACGTTGGGACAACCTCCCGGATGCGGTCTCAAGCATTCCTGGCGTATGGGGCCACCTCCTTACATTCCTTGGTGGCCCCCGCGCGTGCATCGGATACCGTTTCTCACTGATCGAGTAAGTCTTCAGTATTGTTATGCCTTCCTAGCGCGGAGGCGGACTAACGGGACCGACGGTGTGCTTGTCAGGATGAAGGCTTTGGTGTACACGCTCGTGCGCGCTTTCGAATTTGAACTCGCAGTGCCTCCTGAGGACATCCAAAAGAAGTCCACCATCGTGCAGCGCCCAATCCTGCGTAATGCACCTATTCAGGGCAGCCAAATGCCGCTGCTACTCAAGCGGGTCAAGCGTGCTTAGGGCCCAAGGAACAGAAGGGAAATGACTGGTTTGGGGTCATCGAACGATTTGACTTGTCTGATTAATGATATTATTATAAAATGCACCGAGAAACTATGTGGCCAGGCTGTCAGACTGCACACATTCGGATGAAGTCAGAGCACTACCTCATGGGTGCCACTGCGAGTACCCCAGGCTCAGCGGGACTGATATAGAACTATAGCTCAGTCGCCGCCAGCCATCTATTTCATGTTCATGAGTGCTCTTGGCATTCGTGCCGGACTCACGCTGCATCGACAGCTATCCGGAAACTCTCGCATACAGTTTCGAACCGCGATCACTGGTCAAAGTTAGCGTTCAACGTTCAACGTTCAACGGTGACGCAAACTAGAAGGAATGTCTTGACATCCGTGCTACTCGCGGGTTGCATAATCAACCTCGATACCATCACAGCTCGGTTTAAAGAGCACACAAATGCAAGTCTACTCTCCTTCGTGACTACTATTCCTCTTTCATAACCACTAGCCCTCCTTCATGGCTAGCAGTCGCTTTTAGGCGGCTGTCGGGTCGTCTTCGCTACAAGATGTACGAATCAGCATCTCAGCTTCCGGAGAACGAGGCTTGATGACGCAGTCGAAAGGCTCTGGATATCTACAAGCCGCACATGTATCAGTGTAAGACCGACTCTTAAGGATCGGAAAATACTCACGAGATGACACCATGGGTCATTTTCACTCGGTCGGCGAGGCAAATAGGCTGACCGTGCTCGTCGAGGGGCGCTTCAATCGACATGGTATGTAAGATCCTTGACACAGCCGCATAGACGGATCCCTCGGCGAAGTAACGACCCGGACAAATCCTGCAAAGAGTGTTGTCGATGAGTTCAATGAGTAGTAGTATGAAGGAGACGTGCGACGTACCTTCGTCCGTAGCCGAAGACTATGGTAGCTGGATCTTGGACGTTATGATCTAGTCTACCATCTTTGAGGAAACGCTCTGGGTTGAATGCCTCCGGGTCTTGGTATATTCTTGGATCTCTGACATACGCCCTAGTAGTTGAACCGACAGACTCAGCCATGACATATTCAAGGTCTCGTGGGGAGAAGCATACCATGGATTGCATACCACTGCAGAACGCGCTGGAATACGGTAACCGCCGTACTCGTCTTCCTCTATTGAGTAGTGAACGAGGGCAAGCGGCACCACGGGACGCCAGCGGAAGCACTCTTTGATGACCGCAGTTACGTAGGGAAGATTGTCTTTGTCTGCGAACGTGGGAAGGCGATGTGGCCCGACAACGGTATCGAGTTCGGCCTGCGCACGTTTCTGGAATTGCGGGAAGGAGGCCATAGCAATGTAAAATGTCTGGAGTGTAGAGAGCGTCTGTAACGTGTAGCAGTCAGTCTACGCTCATTACTGTATGGTAGAAGGCAATGCACCGTGTCGGCACCGCCTAGATGAGGTATACGTCAGCCGGGGTTGCTGCTGATAGGTGTAGTACCTCAACATACCGGCGTAAGCAGATGCGATGGCATTCTTCGACCACTCCTCCTGTTCAACTGCAGCTTCTTCATCGAGATGAGACATGCGCTCAAGCAAGCCACTGGCCATCGAGGGCACAGGGGAACCCTCACGCTGAGACAAGGGTGTTGATACTTCGTCAGCTATCGAACGAATGATAGGCTCCTAGCTATCACTCACCAAAGCAGACATAGCAGCCTCCCATGGTAGGTCTCGCATCTTTCGGACAATCGGGTACCATTCCGCGGCTTCCCGCTTGAAACCCGCTCCAGGCATGAAAGATGGAAGGAATCGCAGGATTGGGAATGGCTCGACCAGATACTTTCCGGGAAGGAAGGCCAAAGAGAATGTGGCCATAGCTGTCTCTGCGATACCTAGGTAGTCCGTGTCCTTGTGCTCGTCTACATCAATGCCGTAACCCACTCGGATAGTTATGGCACCAAATAAGCTAGGCAAAGGATAAGGTTAGACACTATTCCGCACTGCGCTAATGTCCCGGGGCTCACTGTCGCCCATGGTGAAGGAAATTCTTGGGATCTTCTACAACCCGAAGTAGGTATTTACAGGCCTCCCGTTCTTGAATTGGACGGTAGCGGAGAACGGCGTTTGGGTGCATATACTCATGAAAAAGGCGTCTCGTCTTCCTCCACTGGGGGCCGTAACCATTGACCGAGAATAGCCACGTCCACCCTGTCCTGAGGCCAAACACAACGTCAGTGATATACATTGCCTCCGAAAAGTATGTTCCTACAGGGAAGCCATGGACGAAAAGAGCCTGCCGGAGTAGTTGGAAGAGCGCTTCTCCAACAAGTCAATGGCGGCTTTTTGCGTGCCGAGCACAATCATCGACTGGCCGCAAACATTCAGATAGACGATATCTCCTGTCTATGGGATGAGGGAGAGCAGGAGATGTCAGAGGGAATTGGACGTACCATACTTCGCAGTTAAATCACGGAACGCTGGCTCCATATCCCGCTTCGGAACATCAAGAAGGTTACCGATGATAGGGTAGCCGGGAGGACTAGGAGGTAATGGAAAAGCAGCGGCACGGCGAAACCATCTAGCTCTCACTAGGAGCGCAGCTAGTACAGCAACAACGATGATAATCAGAGTAGGGAGGTCTCCCATGGCTGTGAGCGATTTGGGTTGAGGAGAACTGGTGAAACTCCGGGCTTTATATACCAGGATGCTGGACCTTATCTCGCTTTATCTGGATCGTGCAGTCATGTGTGAGGACCCAATCTATGGCGGAGTCGGAGAGGGTTCAAGACGGTCCAAAGAGAGCGCTGGTCGAGTGGGATACAGCCCAACATTCAAAGGCAGAGCTTTCATCCAGAGGAATCAGTTTACGTCAGGAAACCACGCTCTGAGGAAAGGCGTACCTCTCAGCAGGGGTTCTGAGCCGTCCAATTATACGAGCCCAATCGAAGAGGCCTTACCATAGCTTCCTTTCGCTTCCATACGCTCGGGGGAAAAGAGGACATGAGAAAGTACTCAGGCCCTGCAGGCTTCCTTCTTCGGAGCACGCTTCGACAATGAGCTCCAGACGCCAAACCCCACAAGACTGTCTCATGTGATGCAAAGTTTGCGAGAAGGCATGCCGTCGGCGTTGCGGCCGGTAAGGCACCTCGTCATCTCGTCTATATCATCTGGGAAGTGGTATGCTACCGATCGAGGGCATTGGTACGACACCGTGATTCGACCTGACTACTATGTGAAGGCAACCGCGCTTCAAGCTATCACAAGCCTACTTGCTTTGCCAACGCTCGAGAATTCCAGATCACGCACTCGCCGCTTCAACCTCGCTGCACGCATTACGAATCAGCGTTTCTGCCTCCGGAGAACGAGGCTTGATGATGCATTCAAAGGGTTCCGGGTAACTTGACCCCTCAATCAGCGAAAGCAGAACTTGACCGTGATCACAGGGGAAACTCACGAGATGATGCCGTGAGTCATCTTGACCGTCTTCGCGAGGTCGATGGGTTGACCAGATTCATCACGGGGTGGTTCAATCGACATGGTGTGCAGGAGCTTTGACACGACAGCAAAGAGGGAAGCCTCGGCAAAGTGGCGTCCTGGACAGATCCTGTGAGATAACACTACGATAAGCATACGCGCTACCGGTTACAGCTAACGTCGCTTATGTGCACACCTTCTCCCATAGCCGAAGGCAATTCCAGCAGGGTCTTGTACGTCAGGATCTATCTTGCCGTCCCTGAGATAACGCTCGGGCTTGTATGCTTGCGGGTCTGGATATAGTCGTGGGTCTTGGGTGTACGCCCTAGTGATGTTCACTCAGCGTCCGAGTCGGGTCCGAGTCGCTAGCGAGACGAAATTTGCCACATACCAGATATTGAATACCATGGCGGAGCGCTTGGGGATACAGAACCCCTTGTATTCATCTTCCTCCATCGACACGTGGATCAACGCAAGAGGGGAGACTGGTCTCCAGCGCAACGATTCCTTGATGAGTGCAGTCACATAAGGGAGATCTTCTTTGTCTGAGAAAGTTGGCAGACGGTGAGGCCCAACTACAGCGTCGAGTTCAGCTTGAGCGCGTTTCTGCACTTCAGGGAACGATGCCATGGCAACATAGATGTTCTGCAGCGTAGAGAGCGTCTGGGACAGGGACTGTCAGCAGACCATTCTGACAGTATCGGGCGCACGAACGAACGGTATCAGCACCACCTAACAGACACTCGTTTCAGGATGCTCTTTCCAATCATGGTCGTAGAACGTACCTGTGTAAGCCGCCGCGACGGCATCCTTCGAGAACTCCACCTGTTCGGCCGCGGCTTCTGGGTCGAGACCCGAAGTACGTTCCAGGAGCCCGCTCGCCATCGAGGGTAGGCCACGGCCCTCGCGCTATCGCAGTACAGAACCTCGCATGGGCTACTTCACGAAAGGGAGGGTGCCGCTACAACTCACCAGGGCGGTCATAGCAGCATTCCAGGGTACTTCTCGCATCTTGCGAACAATCGGTGACCACTCAGCAGCCTCCCGCTTGAAGTGTCCCCCTGGAATGCACGAGGGGAGATAGCGTAGGATGGGTACCAACTCGACGAGATACTTTCCAGGGAGGAATGTCACAGCAAAGGCCGCCATAGCCCTCTCGGCTATCTCAAGGTAATCAATCTCCTTATCGGTGTCGACATCGATGCCGTACCCCGCCCTGATGGTGATTGCTCCGAACAAGCTAAAGGTGGCTCCTGTAAGTATGGACGTTGATTGGAAGCTAGATATCTGGAACTTACTGCCGACCGTGGTGGAGGAATTCCTTCGGATGTTCCAAGAGCCGCACAAGGTATTTGGTGACCTCACGCTCCTGAATAGGACGGTACTGCTTCACCGCGTTGGGATGCATGTACTCGTGCAAGAGTCGCCTCGTTTTCCTCCACTGTGTCCCGTAGTCTGCGACTGAAAAGAGCCACTCCCAACCCGATCTAGATATTGCCATCTGTGAGCCACCGAGGTAAAGATGGGCGCGGACGACTGGGGCACTTGCAATATAGACATGACGGAGAACAGGCGACCCGAGTAGTTCGCCGAGCGCTTTTCCAGTAGGTCGGTTGCTGCTTCGTGCGTGCCGAGGACGATCATTGGCTGGCCGCACACATTGAGATAGACAATGTCGCCTTTATATGGTTCAGAACCAGCGGAGCAGGAAGAAAAACGTGACCAGGCGTACCGTACTTGACATTCATGTCGCGAAACGCGACATGCATATCCTTTGTAGGGACGTCGAATATGTTGCCGATGATAGGGTACGATGGAGGGCTCGGGGGGAGTGGCAGCCTTCTCCGTCGCGACGAGATCTGTAGGACCTTCCAAAACGCAGAGGCAAATGCGACGGAGAGAAGCCAGGGAATAACCAACTCAAACATGGCCGCGAAGTCTGGGGTGGTGAAGATGAAAATGACTTGCGCAGCCATGGCCGCAGGGCCCAGGGGTATAAGTACCTCTCAAAATTGGCCTAAGAATATAACACTAGCTTCGCATAGAATGGAAGTTCGCATTGCGTGCCGCATGCTCAGACGGGAGAGATTTTCAGAGACGAATGAAGCGTGGCTGTGGGAAGCGACCTCCATTGAGAGTGACGGTGAAGTACCAGACAGACACTGAATGAGTAGGCGACGCTTACGACCGTGTCAACGCATCCAGCGAAAGCCTGATACTGGTCGCTTGTTTGTATCATGGAAGATGTGGACAGGACGTCCGCTAGATGAACCTGAGTAGAGTTCAGTGATATGAGTGTCCAGTAAACGGACGTCGAGCTCTTGCTTCGTGTTGTTCGCTTTCTTTCGCTGGCAGTTAGTCTCCATTATCATAGATACCTGAATTGATGTAATCGCGGTTTTGGGGTAGCGTTACATGTGCACAATGACAACTCACGACTTACTCTACATCGCGCACTGGAAGACGGGGGTCCGCAGAAGCCCAAGACTCCCTTCCGCGTTCTCTTGGTCCAGGGTTAGCGCATGCTTGAGATACTGAGCCAGTGTTTCCGCCCTGATGACAATGCCGAGACCTTCTTCGTTCCGGGTCTTGTAGCCGTAGAGTACCAGAGGTTAGCGACTCCGACGACTCGTGTGCAGCGTGAAGGCCTGGACAAGGAGGTGCAGCCGTCGGATTGAGCCGAGACCATCACCGGCAGTTGCCGTGTCCCTTGCACCAGTTCCATCTGGGCGCCACGCTCTCTCCTCTGGATCGCAGCAACAATTCCTGGTTCCTTTGAAGTCACTGACTCTGCGCTGCGTATCTCTAGCTGCGATCAGAACCACAATAGCACATATCTTAAGTGTGTGGATGCAGGAAGAACACCTCTATGCCCATCGAACCGCGATATCTTGCACAGCACCTCCCATGCGACACGCTCACAATGCGGAGACCACGCCGTCGTCGTCCTTGACGTCTGTCGTTGAACGACTTTCTCCGTTTTTCCGTTTCGCCCCTCTCCACAGTATACTACTTCGGTCTCCCTTGGGACCTCCAAAACTCGCTGCTAACGTTCACGCCAAGGTGAGTATATGCTCAGTGGGCATCAGACGCATAGCTCAACCTTGTGATCAGGCAGTCCAGTATGGCAGCTACTTCGGGTCCAGCAACGATGCACGCACATTCTGTCTCAGAACTCCGGCCTGAAGCACCCGCGAATGATTCGCATCCGTTGGAGACGCTTCCCGGACAGGCCTCCAAGCGAGAGGTGTACAAGGGCTACGTCAGAGCTCAGCGAAGCGCGCACAACAATCTCGCACCAATCCATCGTTTTCTTCCGACTGAGATTCTCATTGAGGTGTTCGCCCACATCATACCAACATCTTGCACGGCTCTCTGTCTCCTCTCCGTATGCCGCAAATGGCGGTACATCGCCCTGAGGACCCCAGAGTTCTGGTCCGACCTACTTCGCATACCTGTCGTAACGCGGGCAGCTGTTCGAGGGGACCCGGCCGGGGTCGAACGCTTTCGAACGTTCTTACAGCGATCGGCTCCTATCAAGTTTTCCTTCAACGTTCTATGCCTCCCATCGCACGTCTCGGAGGTCCTGGGGGCCCACCTGAACCAGATAGGAGGACTCAAGGTTCGCGTCAGCGGTGACGAAGCCGTGGTCTTGTATGGCTGGCTGGCAACGGGGATGCCTCTCCTGCAGGAGCTCGAAATCTTTCACAAAGCCGCTTACCCTCTGAATCCGTCGTATAGAGATGCTCTCCGCGCGCTCCAGTGCACCGACTTCGACCTACCACGGCTTCAAACCCTCCGGGTGTCACCCGCGTTCTTCGTACCCGGCCTCGCCGTGCCATCCTTGCAGACTCTGCACGTGGGCGGATGCTGCTGCGATGATTGTCGTGGAGACGGGAAGACGTACACGTTGCACGATCTGTCGTCATTCCTGAGGCGATGTCCATATCTCTTCTCGGTAAAGTTCTCGATGGGTTCCGAACCGCTTAGCGAGCCCGGGGAGCTCTCTCATCGCCCCGTCTCCCTACCCCAGCTGAAGACCCTCACCTTTGAGCACTATCAAGCTTACTCCCTTCGTGACGTGCTGTCTAGTCTCATCATTCCTCACACAACCATCGTGCGAATCAACTCGGAGACCTTCGCGCAGGGCGGCGAGACGTATTTCCCTCCTGCTCTCCGCAAGCTCCCTCTACCCTGGGCTCTGCGCTCCCTGCGCGTCGTCGTCGGGACGTGCACCTGCGACCTCCTCGGCGCGAACCTTCGGAACGAATCCGGCAGGGTCAAGGTCGGGTGGAAGACGATCGGCGTCCTCAACCGCCGCACAGAGATCTTCCGCGACTTCGCCGACCTCTTCGCCTCCCCCGCCGTTTCACGCCTCCACATCTCCGTCGCGTCAAATCTGTACCCCACGTGCCTCGATGGCCCCCGCATGGCCGCGCTGCTGTCGGCGTTCCCGCAGCTCACGTTCCTGAGGGTGGGCAGGAAGTGCCACGACCTCTTCACGTACCTCCTCGCACAGTCAGACCCTCCACCGTGCCAGCGCCTGGATCACGTCATCGCTCTTTGGAGCGTCGCGTGGGAGGACGAGTTTTGGGAGAGCTGCGATCTCGTCGAGAAGACCCTCGCGCATCGCGCGGGTCTTGGATTGAGACTCTCGATACTCGACTTGAGGTTCCGCAGGCTGTATGGCCTGAAAGAGCAGGAGATTGACGTAGACCTGCAGGTTGTTAGGAAGGGCCTCGAGGAGAGATTCCGGCCGCTTGCGGAGAAGGTGGAGATCACGATCGAAGTATAGCTAGGCGAGAACTTGAAGGGGAGGTAAGATGAGCCCTTGATCGGGTGCTAGGATATGTGGCATGCTTATGTATCCTGCTTTTCTAGAACTATGCATCACCGTCATGGCTGTCCTGGGAGGGATCGCATCCGAGAACAGCGCGCACAAGAGGTAATCGTCGGCTGACTTGACCGGCTTGCGCTGGTCGTTCAGTACCGGATTCCGAGCGTTCTACCCGATTTCAGCTTTGCTCTACGCTGGTAAGTATCCAAGTCATGCAGTAGGCAAGTCTGGTAGCAACTGTGTACATGGAAGACGTCTACGTAGACTACAAGTACATACCGGGTGAAGCGGAACGAAGTTGTGGAATACCGGCCCGCGAGCGCTTGTCTGTAACTCGCTCCTTCCTGCAGCCTGTACACAGAAAGAACACTTGGTCCCGAACTGTCATGGCTTTCGGTTCGGAGTTGGGATGCGACTAGCCCTACTGCTATGAATGCGCGTTACGCATCGAAACTTTTGCACTATAAGACGTACTTCTCGGCACCATGGCACGACAAATAGCACCAGGTACGTGGATAGTTCAGCTGCTGTCCACTAGCATTCACTCAGCACGCGGGCAGGGCATGCACGATCACTTCATAGTAGCTGCTCGCGAGAGTTGCACGATGTGATAGAGTTTCGCTCCTCTCGCCTAATGTCTGTGTCTGAATCAGGACTATACCTGCAAGCTACCTCATGCTGCTGCAGATAAAGAGCCACCCCCGTACGAGTCCGGATGGCCGTAATGGGCTAAACATCAGATTGCGCGATTACCTTGGCAGACGTATGACCCTAAGATCGAGCTGGCGAGCTCGAATGAGCATAGACGGTCCATATCCGCGAGCGGTTGTGTTGAAAGTGGTACGTTGTTTCGTCCTGACGGATAACTCTCACCAGCCGCGCGCGCTGTTCGCAGTCATATCGCAATTCGCTGTGGGATCTTCCAACCGGTGAAAGGGTAAAAGACGCCAACCTGATGCGCCACTGCGTTGCTTGAGCGGACTCTGCTGACTGAAGTCTCCAACGAGGAGCGCGGCTGGACCGTCTTTGGGCTTGGACGTCAATAGCTGAGGACATACTTATAGGACGCGGTCCCCCGGATCCTGCAGGACGCCGCTGCGTAAATCTCCCCATAGTCTGTCTCGCGTCATGCCAGTTGCTACACAAATGCCTTCTACTTCGCAAACGTCCGGAAGGTGAGTCCCGACCCTTCTCTATTCCTCTGAATCCATACATTCGACTTATGGGTTGTTGCTGATTCACATACTTGAACAGGGCTTGTGAGAGCATCATCGTCGACTTCGGCGGCGTGCTATTCACTTGGTCTGCGAACACGATGACCCCCGTCCGCCCTAAGCTCCTGCGCCGCATCTTCTCGTCTTCCATCTGGTTTGAATACGAGAAGGGCCACATATCGGAGCAAGAATGCATACAACTCGTCGCAGCCGAGTTCTCCATTTTCGAAGTAGACTTCACACGCGCGTTGAAGAGTGCGCGTCGGTCCGTGCGTCTCAACACCTCCGTCTTCGACCTCTTGCGCGACTTGAAGAAGCACACCGGTGTCCGCATCATCGGAATGGCAAATATGTCGAGCACGGAATGGGATCTGCTCCGGCGCAAGATGGAGCCGGAGGTCTGGGCGCTCTTCGACCACATCTACACCTCGGCGGACGTCGCCCAGCGCAAGCCGAGCATTGGCTTCTTCAAGCATATCCTTGATTCTGCCCGACTCGTCCCGGCTCGCACGGCGCTGATCGACAACAGGGTGGAAAATCTCGTTTCTGCCGCCTCCGCCGGAATCCGAGCTTGCTTCTCGTTCACGACGGTCGACGAGCTGTCTCGCTCGCTCAATGCAGTCACCCGGAACGCGCTCGCTGATGCCGAAGGGTGGTTGCGCCGTCATGCTCAGGAGATGTGGTCGGTTACCGACTCGGGCGTCAAGCTGGAGGAAAACTACGCCCAACTCCTTATATTCGATGTCACCAGGGATGCGAGCTTAGCTAATATTGGCACGCCATCGAAGCTTGCAAACTTCTGGAGAGGTACGTTTTGACTGATTACATGGACCGTTTGCATAGGGCTGATCGATGTGCAGGAAGAACTATCAATACTACGGTAACATTCCCCCACGACCTGAACACGACATCCATTGCGTGCACTGCGCTTGGTGTCTTCCCACAACAGATGAAGGACGACATCGTTGACGAGATATTGTCCATCAAGACCTCGGAAGGGCTTGCGCCTACGTACTTCGACAGTACCCGTCCTCGGATAGGTACGCAGCTCTACGCATCCCCGCTCATACTCTGATCTCGAGCTTATGCTCCACATAGACCCCGTGGTGAACATCAACGTCCTCACCTTTCTCTATGCGAACGGCCGCGGCCACGAACTTCCCGAAGCCCTCGACTGGGTCCAATCCGTGCTGCAAACGCGCGCATACGAACACGGCACGCTCTACTTCGCTACTGGCGACGCCTTCCTCTACTTCCTCTCACGCCTCCTTTCGGTATCACCCTCGGTCCGCCAGCGGCTCGGCAAGCTCTTCGTTGAGCGCGTGCAGGAGCGCTGCGGGACTGAGGGCGACGCGCTGTCTCTTGGAATGCGCGTCATCGCAGCGGCGTCGGTGGGAGTGCGGGCTACGCTCGATTACCAGCGGCTTCTGTTGGCGCAGGAGGAGGACGGGTCGTGGCCGGTGGGGTGGATGTACAAGTATGGTTCAACGGGGATGCGCATTGGGAACAAGGGGTTGACGACGGCGGTGGCTGTCGCCGCCATTCGCAAGTTTAGAGCGATGTGAGGTGAGAGCTTTTGTGGCCCTTGTGAGTTCGTCACGATCTGATGGTCGCATGTTGGCGGACTGGCAGCGTGCTGAAGGACTCAATTAGGTCAGTGCTACTGAGCGTCGATCTCCCTGGACGGGGCTGCGATTCACCGCTCCCCTCTTCAGATACACTACCGTTTCGCCTTTGCAGATATATACACAGTACACACGCTCATATGGCGATGGCACGAGACAGTAGGATCAAGTTCGCAGTTCGTCAAAAATCAGCAATTGACCTCATCAAGGTTCGCGAGACCTCCATATCGGAGTGCGCTACACCCAACGGAGCTTAGTTGTGGAAGCAAATCTGGTGATCATCGAGTGCGGTGATATTCCAAGCTTAGTTGACCAGTCACGTCTAGATAGCACGTCGACACAGAAAGAAGCATCATAATGTAATTCAATACATGCTACTCTTTGTTTCAAAGCTTACACACTACCCGCGTGGGCGAGAAGCTCTTCCGCTGCACTCGATCGTGGTCTGACATTGCATGAGGCATGAGAAAGGCTCCAGATAGCTTACGACAAAATCATACAACAAGGGTCAGTATGCATTTCTACGTTCGTGCACGAGAACACAGACCAGGTAAGCCCTTGTTTCTTGGGCGCACCAGTCCTGTCTCTTAGAGGCTCGAGGACGAATGCTTGCGGTATCGATGCTAGCGTGATAAAGAGTGTATCCTCTGTGAAATGAGCACCAGGGCATATCCTGTAACGAGAGCCGAGACGCCTCGCGTCAATGACCCTATGGCGAGACGAGACGTGGCCAATTAGACACGTACCGACGTCCATACCTAATGACATAGCCTAGGTTCTAGGATATCGTGGGCGATTTCCCTGCACATGATAGGAAGTGGTCTTGATGAGTAGATATCCGTACTGCCCGGTCCGTCTGATACAGCCGCGGGTCTACGAACGTCCCAGTGGATATCGTAGTCCCCCGCTCAGGTAAGGAGATGTAGAGTGCGCTAAATGTCTGGTATTGCCTATGTGAGCTCCAGACGACTCCAATGAGCGCGAAACGTACGTACCCGGAACCTGTAGCTTATGGGAACCGCACGAAGAGATCTTCAACTTAGGCCCTCTTCCACCGCTTTTCTATCATATGTAGTATGTTTGGGAAACATTCAATATCGACACTTCCTTGTCCAAGACCACATGCGCCAACGCCTTCCCGCTCATCCACACATTTCAGCTAGCATAGGAGGGTTGAGGTAACGCGCGACCAGACACTTTGTCTATGACGCGTTCAACCCATGACAACATATCGACCGCACACCTGTACCGTCGACGGCCGACATGAAGCCCATGGTAGAAGACGAACGAGAGGACATCCTGCCAGTGGGCCCTTCGACCAGAGATTAGATAAGATGCAGGGAGGGTGTCCGTGCCGGATGGCGGCATGCCTACTTGAATGATCTGCTCTCCCCTGCTGCCGATCGCTCATCTCGACCTCGACACCCATATCATGGCGGCCCCCGCAGAGTTCATCAAGTTCATCGACGACAATGCAAACAAGTTCATTGCTCGTCTTGGCGAAGCCGTCGCTATCCCCAGGTGAGGCGTCCTCTTTGTCTTCCCAATGCTCGTGCTGTTGCCGCACGATAAAGTCCTTGGCGCAAGCTCACATCGCTACGCTCTACAGTGTGAGTGGGAATGGCGCGCATCGCCCGGATGTCTTCAAGATGTCTGCATGGCTGGATGGCCAGCTGAAGAGCCTTGGTGTCACGACGAGCCTTGTCGATCTCGGCAAGCATGTCATGGATGGCGAGGAGCTGCCGCTGCCACCTGCGATCTTGGGCAGGATTGGCGACGACCCAAAGAAGAAGACGGTGCTTGTGTACGGGCATTATGATGTACAGCCGGTGAGTGTTGCAGTCTAGGTTTTGGCGTGAGGGTCTTGGGCCTATGCTTGCGAGATTGGATTGGTATTCCCCTGGACGCAGTATGCTTTCGGGCAGAGGACAGGCTAGCTCATGTGCGCACACCAAGAGATACACGAGTGCAGAGTGCACGGACGCATACGGCCTAGCATCTCAGCCCGTAGACTTGATGCTATGTCAAGTGTTGGCACGTGTTCTCTCGCCAGCCAGAGTCTTGCAGGGTAGGCTCTGCAATCGTTGAGCTTCGTCGCACCATACGGGCTGGAAATTGCATACGTGGAGATTCCCGTTCAAATTTGCAGTCACTAGCTGTCGCGACGCCCGCTGGTACACTCAGAGTTCCTCATGCGCGACCAGCTAACATGAACGTTGTCCCACAGGCAGAGAAGAGCGACGGCTGGGACACAGAGCCCTTCAAGCTCGTCGTCGACGAGAAGACAGGTCGCCTCATCGGCCGCGGCTCGACCGACGACAAGGGCCCCATTCTCGGCTGGCTCAACGTCCTCGAGGCGCACAAGACGCTCGGCCTCCCCCTCCCCGTCAACTTGCGCTTCTGCTTCGAGGGCATGGAAGAGAATGGCTCCGAAGGTCTCGACGACCTGATCAAATCCGAGACTGCCAGGGGCAACGACGGCTTCTTCGGCGGAGTCGACTGCGTGTGCATCTCGGACAACTACTGGCTGAACTCGCGCACGCCCTGTATTACGTACGGGCTGAGGGGGCTCGTGTACTTCAAGCTGACAGTGTCTGGCCCGACGAGGGACCTGCACTCGGGCGTGTTTGGGAGGATGGTGCACGAGCCGATGACGGACCTGGTCCTGTTGATGAGCAAGCTCGTAGCGCCTGACGGGACGATCCTCGTACCAGGCGTCGAAGACCTAGTCTCGGCTGCCGATGAAGAGGAACGGTGAGCAGACTCCTACGTGATTCCTGTTCATGCGTGCTGAATTGGCCGGGCAGCGCGATCTACGAGAAGCTCGACTACTCCGTCGAGGACGTCAATGATGCCGTCGGAGCCCCTATCACCCTCTCGGACGACAAGGTGACGGTGATCATGGGTCGCATGCGCATGCCCTCTCTCTCGTTGCACGGCATCGAGGGTGCGTTCTACGGTCCAGGCGCCAAGACTGTCATCCCCGCCTCCGTCTCCGGAAAATTCTCTATCCGGTGAGCCGACCCCCTCTCTATCCCTATCAGACGGATCTGCTAAGATACGATCATCGTACTCACCTCGAGACTACTTGTACAGGATTGTCCCTCCGCAGACCCCAGAGCTGATCGAACCGCTCGTCATTCAGTACGTCGAGCAGGAGTTCGCCAAGCTGAACAGCAAGAATAAGCTCAAGATCGAGAACCTGCACGATGGACGGCCGTGGGTCGCGGACTACAAGCACTGGAACTATGAGGCCGCGCGCCGCGCGACGCAGGCGGTCTACAGGCGCGACCCGGACCTCACGCGTGAGGGCGGCTCGATCCCGGTCACGCTAACGTTTGCCGAGAGCTTGGGCGTGAACGTGTTGTTGCTGCCGATGGGCAGGGGAGATGATGGGGCTCAGTGAGTTTGACCAATCTGCACGATGGTGCGGGGCTGATAGTCCTTGTCTTTCAGCTCGACGAACGAGAAGCTTGACAGGTCGAACTTCATCGAAGGGGTGAGTAGTCCCTTTTGCATGTTATTGCCGAGATTGCCTAGATCACGACTGACACTCTCTACGCAGAGCAAAGTTTTGGGCACCTACCTGTACGAGGTCGGGGCCATCAAGGCATAGACATGTACAACAACACAAGGGTGTACGAGAAGGACAGAAGAAGTCGTAACAATGCGCACTGTATCGAATCCAAGTCTCCTTGCTTGTATCAATCTATCATTGGTTGCTGTGGTACCCTTCCTCTCGGTCGTTGCGTGGCTGCTCAGAGCGCTGAGACGCCTCATTCTCATTTGCAACACGAGGTGCATTGAAGGTCACCTCCTCCAAGGAGTTTAGATTGGGTCTCTTAAACTCTAGGTGACCATTGGACATGACGTGCGATCACGGCAGATGACTGGCCCCCCACCTACTTCCAGCAGGATTGCAGCGACACGGTCCACTGCCTAGATCAGGTGTGTACCCCCGTCAGTTGCAGATCGACGCGCTGCCGATACATAGCGTACAGAACCCCACAGAGCACGTCGCCGCGCCCACGCGGATGTAGCACGTGGGAGACTTCGTCTCCCGTCCAGGCATACTCGGTACCATGTCTGTACTCCACTCCGCGATTCTCCGCTTTCGCGGAGGGAAGGTTCCATGGCAAGCGGAATCCGACTATCAACTAGCGGGAGTATCCAATGCACCTACAAGGCGTTTATCCAGGTCCGCGGACGTCCTCAATGGTGTGAGCACTATCTTTTCGCCCCAGTCCTTGTGTCCACGATCGTTGGTATCCAGTGTCGAGCTTAAGTACAATCACAAGCACGGTACTCGATATAGCAACATTCAAACCTTCGTGCTTGAACGCTCTTGGAAGTACTTATCTAGCACCGGACCACTCGCGCGTGCTGAACGCTCCTGCACAGTGTCTGCACCCAATGCTGTCTCCATCGCACTCGCAATAATCTCGCTACTCATAGGAGTCAGGCAGTTCTATGGCCGCCGTCAGAGTCTTCCCTTACCCCCTGGGCCTACCCCTCTGCCACTTGTGGAAACCTGTTCGACACTCCACAGGTGCCGGACCTCAAGTTATACCGTCATCTTACGGATCGATATGGTATGTCGTCCCCTTCCCTCGCCACTTGCATGCCCCTGAATCATGGTGGACATATTACGCGACATCGTATATCTCAATGTCCTAGGCCGACATATGATCATTCTCGGATCGTACGCAGCGGTGTCCGACTTACTCGAGAAGCGATCGGCAAACTATTCGGACAGGCCACGTACGGTAATGGGGGAACTGTGCATCGTGTATTCCTTGCCAGGCTATCATATCATGGCTTACTGAGAGGGTCTGGGACCGGCTTCACCTGGGCCCTGACCGTGATGCCATATGGGTCGTTCTGGCGCAACATCAGGCGGGCTCTGTATCAGCGCTTCAACTCTGACGCGGTGTCTCAGTTCCGCCCTGTTCTGCTACAAGAGACACATAAGCTGCTCAAGAGACTCACAGCCAGTCCAGATGACGTGGTCGAGCACATTCGACTGTAAGCTTTCTCAAGTGCTTTTCGTTCTTGACGCATGGTGTGCTGATTGGCTTGGAACAGCACCATCCAGGTACTCAAGTGCGTCCGTGATGAAAATCACATTCGGCATCGAAGTGGATACTCCAGGGATGAGCTCGTCATGCTTGAAGACAATCTCGCCAAAGCTTTCGAAATGATATATGCCCCCGGCAGCTATCTTGTCGAGTCGTTCCCTTTTCTGCGGTACGTCCCTGTCTGGTTCCCGGGTGCAAATTTCCAAAAAGATGCGGCTGACTTCAAGGAAATATTCAGCACCGGTCTGCACAAGCCATTCGACGTTACGTCGAAGAATATGGTACCACACTGCATACACGTCCCTCCAGTACGATGCCTAACATTCCATACAGCGCTCTGGAGAATACCTTTCGAGTCTCGCCTCCTCCTTGGTGCAACAGGCACAAGCGGAAGGGGAACCTGACTAATTATCAAGGGAGGCAACAGGAATTATCTACAGCGGTATGCCCGTTCGATGTCTCGTAAATGGCCTCGTGTTGACACTCTGCCTAGCTGGCTCTGACACTGTATGTCCCCTAAACGGGCGTCGATAGTCTCATGCAAACGAGGACTTCGCAGATCAGGTCCGTTCTCTTCCTATACATCCTCGCTATGGTCCTGCACCCGGAAGCGCAATCAAAAGCACAAGCCAAACTCGACGAGGTCATAGGGAGCGAAAGACTCCCCCACTTCAGCGACAGAGAATCTCTGCCATATGTCGAAGCTATTATATTAGAGTGCCTTAGATGGAGGCCCATTACTCCCTTCGGATTCTGGCATGCGTCGCTTCAGGAGGACGAATATCGTGGATACAGGATCCCGGCAGGGTCCCTACTCATCCCTTGTACATGGTAATGTGCCCATGAGTCGTACTGAAACGAATTTGAAGTTGCACTATGACCCAAATAGGGCCATCACTCGAAACTCGGAGCACTTCGTCGACCCAGCACGGCAGGGATTCGGATATTTCCAGCTGGAGAAAAGTCTCTGAAAAGGGGACGCGCGAGGTAAACAATCCGTAGATATGTGGCATCTCTGGACAAAAGTCATTGAAAAACGACGGGCGATTGCCTTTTGCTTCCCCATTCCATCGACTTTTCTCCAATCGAAAACATCCGATTCCCTGCCGTGCAGAGAAGTTCATGCCCGAACGATTCCTGAATCAGGAAGGCCAGCTCAGAAGCGACATCCTCGACCCCCAGCTGTTGGTATACGGTTACGGGAGAAGGATTGCCCTGCCAAGCCTCGAAACCTGTTCATTCTGACGCGATGTGTCCTGTAGGAGTTGTCCTGGGCGCCATTTGGCGCAATCATCCCTGTTCATCACAATCGCGTTCCTGTTGCACACACAAGACATCCTGCCCAAGGGGAATATGGCGCATAGGATCGTATCGTAAGTCCCGCATTTGTGCTTTGACTTGACAGAAGAGTTGTCAAAGCTGGACAATCTAGACACCCGGAGGGCCTCGAGTTCAGAGTGCGAGTCCGGTCACGACAAGCGGAGACGCTTATTCAGTCGGACTGCGCAGAATCGTTCTGATCTTGGGAATGTCTTGCAGGAGGATCCCATGCGATGGGCGACGAGGCGGATATGATGGCACTTGCTGGCCTGGCGCGACAGGCCGATAAGGGATCGCGGATCGGACAGAGCGAGAATACCCTATTGAGCTATGTTTCAAGGGTTACACAGGTTCTGTCTTGACGTGTGGTTGAGTAGGCATGCATATAGGATGTGACGGTCCACGGAGGCCCGGGAGCGTAGGCCGTGTGCGGCGGGTAGTGCCGCAAGTTATATATGGGGTAAGGAGAACATGGGGACAAAGTAGTAGTAGAGTCACGGACCACCGCTGTCGTACTGTAATTCGGCGTCTACATGGCCACGTCAACGCGAACTGACCCTAAGCGCCTCCACTGCATGGAAGTCATCTTCCTCTTTGACACAATGTGAGATCGCCCTCGTTGTCGTTAATGCGGGCTCGAGTATAGCTACCGATACTCGAGGGTGAGCATTGAGGGGTCAAGAGAGCTATATTATATCTTCACACTTCCCAAATATTCTAACTCTCGTCAGGTGCACAAAAGGTACGCTCTATTCTCGATACTTTGGCATTATTTCATCTACGATCATCATCTGTGTGCAGGTGATATTGTCACCGTACGCCTTGCGCATAGCCTCGGCAGCAGATATTGCTCCCTGTCGTGGGGGTTATTCCTTGGCCCCCCATGTCATAGCTCGCAATTGGACCCTCCAGCACCTGAAAGCTATTTGCTGCCTCAGCCCGTGCGGCACGGCTTCGGGTCAGACATATACGCATCGGATTATGCCATTTGAGGATATCTAGGCATACGGATCTAGAGAGGATCGCCCGTGTGTGAATGGAGCCCCAAATCCGAGGCACCCCACTATGCCGGCATAAATCGCCTCCAGGTTTCACATAAAACTCGCTAACATCCCTCATGACGCTGCTCTGTGCCCTCAATTGCTTTTTCCTCCATCATGGCTTTCGATAGCAGTACTGGCTGGGTCGCCGTTACTTTGGCCGCTTGCTCTGCATTTTTGCTATGGCAGAGACTACGTTCTCCACTGTCCGCTTATCGCCATCTCCCGCTACCTCCTGGACCCCCTGTGCTCCCCTTCATTGGTAATGTACTCGACATACCCTCTGGGGATAACCCTGAGACCGCATACCGTGACCTAAATGCGACATATGGTGTGTCTTCAACATCTAAGCGATTCTTCCCGCTGTCGCTGCTGACATCAATGCATTCATCTCGCGCAGGCGACATTGTGTACCTGGACGCACTGGGCACGCCCATGATCATCCTCGGAAGTCATGAAGCGTCCATAGACTTGCTTGAGAAACGTTCTTCGATCTACTCCGATCGGCACTTGGCTCTCATGGCACAAATGTGTGTTCTTCGCGAAGTTCACACGTCTTGTCATTTAATTTGAAATTCCACTTCATTGTAGCACCGGGTTCGGCTGGCTGTTTTCGATGATGGCGTATGGGCCGCAGTGGCGGAAGACAAGGAGCGCGTTCCACCAGTGCATGAATTTGGCCGCCATTCCCCGTTTCCGCCCGGTACAAGAGCTCGAGACGAAGAAGTACTTGCTCAAGTTACTTCGGGACCCTAGTGGATTTGCGGAGCATGGAAGACAGTACGTACGTCTGACCCACGTATCTTCTACCAGCTCTTCACACCTCATTGACTTATCAGTCTAATTGGAGCAATTATCATGCGTGTGGCGTACGGCATTGACGTAGAGGAAGAGGGGAATCACAAATACGTCAAGATTGCCGAGAACACGATGGACGTCTTTAACGTCGTCTTTCAGCCTGGGCGATACATCAGGAAAACGTCACGGACTTGGACCCATACTTGGGCCCAAGTTCATGTACTTGGACTCAAGTCCGTGTACTTGGCCTCAAGTCCGTGTACTTGGCCTCAAGTCCGTGTACTTGGACTCAAGTCCGTGTACTTGGCCCCAAGTCTGTGTACTTGGTCCCAAGTACACGGACTTGACCCAAGTCTATATACTTGGGGTACTTGGGGTACTTGGGCCACAACTTGGACTTTACATGTTGACTTCAGTATACTCAGGCCTCAATTTGAGCAATTGGTGTTTTATCAGTCACACATCTTGTATACTTCTTATGTAATAATATCTATCATAGACAACCATACACTAGTTGTAAACCAGTCTGTTTTAAGGCTGTAGAAGCAGCTTTATAGTCTATTAGTAAGAAGGGTCAATAACATGTGATTAGAAGACTTTAAGTT